GTTATCCATCTATGAGAAGAAGATGATGGTCATACATGAGAAAAAAAAGTTATCTGGGATCATTATATTTGGGGAATGCACTTTACAATCAGATTTGATCAAGTCAACCTTAAATACATTTTAGAACAAAAGGTAAATTTTCATTCTCAACACCTTTGGTTAGCTAAATTACCAGGATTTGGTTTTGACATTAAGTATAAAAAGAAAAAAGACAATGTTGCATCTAATGCATTGTTCATAAATTCGAGTAGAGAGGTATTTATCATGACAATATCTATTATAAACATTTGTATAATAAAGCAAATCAGGGAGTGATGGGCAAAGGTTCGGTCTATTCAAGCTATTATAATGGACTTACAACAAGACCTTATAACACATTCACATTACAAGTAAGTGAACAATCATCTTAATATGAAGGGAAAGATTGTTATGGGTAATAATAAGGATTTACAAAACAAATAGGTGGTAATGTACCATGACTTATTTTTTGAGAGATACTCTAGAGCTAGAATCATAACAAAAAATATAGGTAGTCTTTTTTATTGGAATGAACAACAAAAACACGTGAGGCAATATATAATGGAATGTCCCATTTGCCAAAAGAATAAGTTAGAACATATCTTAAGCCTTGATTTGCTACAACCGTTACCTATTCTCAATGCACTCTTTGTTTAAATTAGTATAGATTTTATATAGGGGCTTTCTAAATCTAATGGTAAAGAGGTTATACTTGTAGTGGTGGATAATTTTTGTAAGTATGCGTATTTTGCAACGTTAACTCATTCCTACTCAACCACCACAATGGCCAATGTTTTTATGGACCAAATCTACAAACTTTATGGTCTACCAGTCAATATAGTCAGTGATAGAGGATCTGCATTTCTTAGTTAGTTTTGGAAAAACTTATATTTCTATCAAAGCATGGAACTGTACTATCAATAGTCTATCGTCCACAGATGGATGGACATATTGAAGTAATAAAAAAATATTTAGAACAACACCTCAGCTACGTGATTGATGAGTTTTCTAATCAATGGACAAAATGGTAGCCTCTAACTAAATGGTGGTACAACACAAAATGCCATACCTCAACTAAGTTTACCCCATAAGAGATCCTATATGGTTATCCTCCCAATCCATATGCCATATTTCCCCAAAGATTCCAACAATGAAACCTTAGATGCATTGCTGATAAAAAGAGAATAAACACTCAAAATCATCAAAAATAACCTCAAACCAGTTTAATACATGATGGTACAACTAACAAACAAAAAAAAAGAAGTGAAAGAATGTTTGCACTAAAAGGATTGGGTTTACCTCAAACTAAAACCTTATATGCAAGTCTTAGTTGCTGACAAAGCATTTAATAAACTATCAATAAAATTATATGGCCCCTACAAAATCATTGAATGTTTAGGTACAATGGCATATAAACTAGAGTTACCATCTTCAGGAATTATCCACCTAGTTTTTTATTTAAAGAGGCATGCAGATAATAGAAAAGTTCTATAAAGAGCTAACTAAATTCTAAATTAGTCTCAATTGATCTTAAACATACGTATGATAAAGCACATAAATCAAGTTGTCACTCAAGTTTTAACCATGTGGAATTGCCACTTGTAAAGACCACTTGGGAATTCCTAGAAGAATTCACCCTATAATTTTCTCTTCTTTACTCTTAAGGATAAAGCTGTGCTAACAAGGGAAGTATTGTCATTAGCATGGCTAATGATCATTGAATTTGAAAGACTCAGAACACATCATATGATCTTTGAAAAAATTGAAATCACAAAACTTTACTAAATTAATCGTTTTATTTATTCACCCACATGCATTGTTTTATTATGTTTTTTTTATTAATAGAGTTAGTTAAGTTGTTTTTTCATATATCTATTAAGGCATAAATCATGTACTGTTTGGTATTTTCTTGGCTTATATATATAATAGAAATGCTAGAGGAAAAAAACATGGAAAAAAAATGAAGTAAACAATTATGTCCTTTTCTCCCTTCTCTTTTTTTCATCCTGTTGTTCTGTTATAATCCATACTATTCTATTATGTTCTTATTGCATTTCAAATTTTTTGATTTTTGTTCTAGAAACCATATTGCATAATCAGCTGTAATATTACTCTCTTTTTTTTTAATTCATTCCTTTTTTTTAGTTCATTCCATTAGACTTGCAATGAAGTTGTAATTTATCAAAAAAAAAAAGGGTTGTAGATCAGTCTTGGATGTAGGATCTATTTTATTATCCAAATGATAAAAAAAAATTCAAACAATTCTCAAACTTCGCATTTACTTGACAACAATGTTCACATTTTGTTTGCAATGAGTTATTTATTCTTTCTATAAAATATTTAAACATAAAATACAAAAATATTGATTAGCATTCGAAAGTCAAGATGTTGATATTCCCTTTCCTTTCTTCACTGTCAAGTTATGTTTTCAAGTTGTCTGAAGAAAACAAAAGCAATAATTGGCCGGCTGTTAGCGTTTGGGGCCGAATATTTTTTTTAAGTGTATCTTTTTAAAATATATTAAAATAATATTTTTATTTTTTAAATTTTATTTTTAATATTAGTATATTAAGATATTTTAAAAATATTTTAAATATTTTTTTTATTCTTATGAAATGATTTTTACACCGAGTTTTCAAACGCTATTTCATGTACTTGTACAAAGGACTGTATTCAACGCGCCGCCCCCACCATCCTACGATGGGACCATTGATTCTCATGTTTTTATTTATTTATTTCTCTCTTTGTTTATCTTTATTTTAAAAAAAAAAAGAAAGAGAAAAACAAATTTGATAAGAAAGCAAGCAACCGAGAGAAAAGGTTGGTTCAAAATAATACTGAGTCCATACGGCACTCTTAACTGTTGTGTTATGCTGTAGAATTAAATATATGATATTATATAATGATAAAATGTTATATTCTATTATAAATAAATTATTTGGAAAATTATTGATATGCTGTTCGAATTAATATTATTAAATGCACTTAATATGCCAATAACATATTAAGGAATATTATCAAATTATTGATATGGACAGTGATTAGTGCGTCTCTAATGCTGGAAGGGGAAGGAATATGGATAGTGATGCTACTCTGGTTCCCAATAAAATCACTCTTTTTTGTATTTCTTTTTCTTAAAGGCTTAACAAGAGATGAATAGGTTATTAAAGGCTTGTTGAAAGTGTATTAGAGATTACATTTTAAAATATATTTTTTCATTTAAATTATATTAAATATTATTTTTTTATTTGTTTACATCAAAAAATTAATTTAAAAAGATAAAAAAAAAAATCAAAAATACATTCTACAGCACTCTCAAACATTAGCACCATAATGAAAGTTCCATTACAGGATAGAGGAACAGAATCCAACTATTTACAAGTAAGGCTCCGTTCGACGTGGCCAATAATGATTCCAGATCTGAAAAATATATAAAAACAGTTCAGCGCTTAAGATATTCTAGGCCGCATACTCCTTAATGATTTTTTTTTTTTTGGTGAACAAGATTATTAAATGCAAAGAATCCTCGTCAACAGATATTAAATGCCGGTACGATCCACATATCAAAACTAGCACGCACGCTCTTGTGTGTCTATATACATACGTTACACCCACCTACTTCATTTGTTTTTTAAATTAACATGAATATTTAAATTAATTTATGTGTAGCTTAATTAATTTTATGAGTTTTAAAATTAATGATTATATAAATTTTTAATAAGTTTAAAAATTATAAAATTTAAACTAATAATTTTTAAAGAATATATCTAAAATTTAACTAATTGAGTTGCATCCTTTAAAGTTTTACTCAATTTGTTTTTATAGAAGAAAAGAATATATATATATATATAGTTATATTTTATTTATTTATTAGTCATAGTTATTTATTTTTTTAATAAGTTTAATTTTTATTTGTTTGTTTTTGAATAAATAATATTTTTATGTTAGGTATTTTCATTTAAAATGACAGAAATGTTTTTACGTAAGAAACCCAAATTTGACCTAATTTACTAGAAAAATAAATATGAAAAAGAACAACTATTAATGCTGTCGTGACCATGAAATCACACAAACCAGCAACCAGATAACCCTCCACAGAATCTAACTCCTCCATATGATCATAAATTTTAAAGTTTTTTAAATATTCACTCACCTTTTATTTGAAGTGGTCTGCTGTCCTCAACGCTCATCTACTCAGAGCCAATTAAATACATTTTAACGTATGTGACATGTCCACTTGTTTTTACTTTTTAGGTGGACAAAACATTTCTTAAGAGGGTTTTGGATTATTTGAGTGGTGCGTGGATGGTCGGAAATGGCTTGACAATCTCTATCATCGGAAATTATTGTTTTCCTCAACAGCTCCGATACACAATCCGATGAGTCGTCAAGTATGCAATCTTGTTTCCTATTATTTAATTATTTTAAAGATTTTTCTTATTATTTATCAGATCAAAACCATTGCTCTTGTTAGGCTCCCACGACATGTTGTTCTATTTTAATAGGAAAAAAACAAAAGTTGATTTGCACGTGTGCTCGAGTATAAACAATCGAGCCTCTGCCAGAAAAGCACTGATTGCCATCGTAGCAGCTTTTTATAGTTGCTATTCAAAATACAACTAAAGGACAAGGCTCAGATGATTTTTTATTGATGATTATTTTTTTTGGAGATTTTTTATATCATGTGATACTATCGACTCAAGTTTGCTGCTATTTACATCAAGATCCGCAAGTTCAATGGAGATTTTTAAAAGTGTTTTTTTTTAATGAGGATCTTAATTTTCACAGGGAAAATAAGGCCGATATACATCCACCAACAAATTCAGAGAAGAATCCATCAGAAACAAATGTAAAAGACAGTATACAGGGAGGCGGCTAAGGTTCTGAGCATATATGCATGTAAATTCACTGGCTCCAAAACCTGTAATTTGTCAATTACAGCGTCATAGTGGGAATCCAACAAGTTTATGAGCACAACGCCGGAAGATCAATCACCACATAATTTGTCTTGCATTTCCAAAGAATAATAATAATAAGCTTCCGATAACAATTTCAACAGTTCTTACTGACGGGTTAAGAGCTACCCAAAACAATGCCTCTCCCAACATGATACAGGGCATCATGTTCCTATTTCTATACAACCTTCTACCAGCAACTTACTGATGTAACAGATTTTCGGGTGACTTGTAAGAGCTGTCACTTTAGCTTCCCTAAGCTAACTGTAGCCAAAGAAAAAAAAAGATTAAGGGAAGAAAAATAGAAATGCATGTGTCATAGTCCTTTTGATCAGACTCCTAATCTGAATGCGTCGAAGCTGATGCCCTATTTGTCCATGCAGCTAGCTCCTTTTCCTGCTGTTTTTTCAGATACATCTGAGCAGTTGCGTTCAAGATCTTAAAAAAGAAGTTCAAGAGCATGAGCCATACAACAGTGTTCCAGATTCCAGTAAACGAGAAATCCCATTTTTTGACCTGTGAAGAATGCACAAACCGGGCATGTAAATGAGAAACAAAACTCAATCAATGCAATATCGCAGAGATTTAAAAGCATTTAATAAGAACCTGTTTGATTTAGCTAATGTGGTCTATCAGGGTACCTTTATATCTGCAGATGCAGGAGGTGCAGGTGCCATATATTTTTCTTTCATTGCATGGAGTTTTGCTGTGAGGTCAGGCAATGCAGAATCGAAACCTGGTACAAGGCCGAGTACCCAGATCAACTCATTCTCTATCCAGTTAAGAAGTTGATTGTTGCAAACAGAAATAATGAACACCGTCTGCCAAAAAAGCAATCAACCAAGAGATAACTCAGAAGGATTTAAAGTAAAAAGCAGCATCCAACACCAACTTTATCAAATCAACATTAATTTCAACTCTTGATCTCCATTACCCCATCTTCATTTGAAGCACTTATAGCAATATTATCAATGCATAAAATTATCATACCAAACTAAGGGAACTAGGATGGTCAATAGAAACTGAAGCTTCAAGCACAAAAGCACCTAAAACAAGTGTTTAAATGGTCCGAAAGATATAAAGAGAGAGAACAGTAACATCACAAACCTGTATGTGAGTTTTAACAATCGCTTTTCCAATCAGTGTCGCCAGAAAAAACTTCCAAAATGGAACCCCAAATTGTCCACACATAATGCCAGCAAGGTCAAATAGAGGATTTGGCACCTAAAAAATAGTACAAGTCATCAGCAAGTTGCAAGTTAATGAAGAAAAGCATGACATGAACAGATCATAATCAAGGACGACTTGTTAGCACCAATGTTATGTATCTGATGATTAGAACAAAGTTACTTTGTTCTTGTGTTTCATGATGTATCACAATAAAGCACCCTTCATGGATACAAAGAAAATAGTAGAGCAAATATTGTATAAACAAGAATTTGTAGTTTAGATAAAATTTTAAAGAATGCCAGAAACCAAGCCCTGGTTTTTATCGGACGTAGTACTTGTCCACATAAATACTAAAACAATCTCAAATTATCAAGGAATTGTGTCTATGACAACAAATTACAAATATTAAAATGTTTTAAAAGGGACAACTGAAATTGCATTTTGGAATATTTAAACTAAAAAGAGTTGATAAGGATTTTAATGGAGGCATTAGCATGAGAACAAACGAGTCCCTCTTGTTAAGGTCATCTATTTTCTGAATAACTAGTAGTATAAAATATAGATGGGTGTTGCACTAACCGAAGCGAGCACTAAGATTGTGAAGAAGTTCAAATGTTGAGAGTGGTTCTGTAGCCAATGTTTGATTGCTTTAAGGCGAGTAGCTACGATTCCACTATCTCCATCCGAAGAAGCATCCAAATCTTCCATGGCATCCAACTTGCTACCTGACATACGTGCTGCATAAAGTAATGAAATCAATATGCAAAAAAAATATGCAGAGCTGTCAATATACTAAATCAAAACCAACATTTTGCAGTTACCATACACGCACTAACAATCAAAGATGGAAGAAGCGGTAATCTCCTATAATGAAAAAAGAAAAAAAAAACAGATATGCACCTACTTGGGCTAAAAACAACTATGATAGGTATTAGATACCATCCAACCATGAAAACTAAAGGCCTTCTGATAAGGAGACCAGGAGACCAAGACAATTCTTCTCTTGATCAGATGAAATCAGCCACGACCACTCTTAAATGGTTTCAGGTACACATGCAACGTAGGCATGCACACTATTGGGCACAAAAGCACAGTTGAATCATACAAGTGTTCAAAATCCTGGTCAGCATTAAGATTGAATGATGTATTAACATTACATCATGTTTTTGTTTTTGTTTTTATTTTTTTGAACTTCTTGCATTTTAAGTAAATTTTCTGCAGCAAGCATTAAAGTAAAAGAATATCAAACATTCCAAGGACATGCATCCAAGGCATCCTTATCCCTATCTAGCTTCAACTTTACTCTTTGAGGAAAAGGGGATGTTAAAACTTCACAATCAGCATACTTGAGAATAAACTGTGATATGTTTTCTTTTTTCCTATGATAATAAAATATCTTGATATTGAGGCAAGTTTAGTTTATGATTAAGAGTCCATATAGCCTAGTCCTACTAGTTTCAGACAGAGGCTTTGCTGTTGTTGATAATAGTAATAAAACGACATTTGGGAACTAGTAGGGTTTAAAGATTATAGGTTTGACAAAATCTCATAAGTGTTTTTTAAAAAAAAGTAGTCTTCCATGTAATCTGTGATGTTAATCATGTTAGATGCCCAAAACTATCATATTAATCCAGCCACTCAGTCTTATAGCACAACAGCAACCTCAGTGCATATGGATTGTCACAAGATCACTAGACAAGCATTTCATTACTGGCAAACTTTTAACCAGATATTCATATTACTGCTGCAGACACTTCGCACATACCTGCTCTTGAGATAAAATAAGGAGGAAGCTCCCCAAGTGCAGTCCCAACGCCCCACAAAATAGCCTCTACCTGTACCTGGGGCAATATGCTGCTAAGGGGAACCCGCAATCCATGTAACAATGGAAACACTGGGTCCCCATACTCATGGCAGTCTCTGTCAAGCCACGAAGGACCTCTTTTCAGTTGTATTGTATCATAAGGAGCACTTTTTAAATCAACTCGGCCACATTGCATTGCCTTAATCGTGAACAAGGCAATGTGAGGACCCAAATACATAACAAAAGTATGCAAACCAGATCCTGAAATAAATTTGAAAAAAGAAAAGACAGATCAAGCTCGGTGGATAGCAGATCTCAATTCTTCATAAAAATGTAGAATCAGCAACAGCAAAAAACCATATATTAAAGACAGTGATTTTAACCAGCTGTGTTCCTTCTTATCTCCAAAGATCTTAGATGGACGAAACCGCAACAATAGACCAAAAAATCATGTGAGAACTAAATTGAGGCACTTTACAAGCACAGGGCACAGCTGAAACCACGCAACTAGAGTTTATCGGCCAAGTATAAAAAGGATGATGATGATAAAAGGTCGCTTGTCCTACTACAATGTTGTGCTTCGTGATTTAACAATATCATTGCACAAAAATAAGATTCTAGGTTTAAAAAATCTCATACTAGGTTAATTTATGTGGCAAAAACATTATTGATATCCATTGCACCAAAAGTTGCCTCTAAATTTGAAGCACTCGAATAGTTGCTGCCACTCTTCACTGTACCCAGCTTTAGGGTTTTTTCATATTCATCTGAGTAAATTTTGCTCACCAAGACCGATCGATGATGCAACGCCAAGGGCAATCCACCACAATCCAAATCGCAGATAATGAGAAAGTTCTTCAACATGCTGCAGAAATATGCCACAGCAAGTAATCAATAATCCACACCGTTAATTTGTAAACAATAGAACCATGAATAACAGAACAAAATGAATGTTCACACTAAGAGGAAGAAGCGCCATATCTAAATCTCAACATATTCAAGGTTTAACCATAAGAAACACTGTAGCAACATGGCCGTAGCAATCCAAGAACACATCCTTTTACGTGCCGTGACAGAAACACGTAATGTTTCATCCATAAGAACATAAATTTCACTAAACTATAAGTACCTAAAATGATCTATATGCTGTAATACCTTTTCATGAGGACTGTCAATGGTCGCAAGCACAACTCCAACAGCTGCCACCACTGTACTTAATAGCATTAGCCAACCTCCATTAGCCAGGAGGTAGAATACCGATCTCTTACAATATTGAACCATAGCCAGAGCAAAAAACTTCAATGTTTTGAAGGGTTGTGCAGTCAGGGTCAAGTTCTCTAGTTCCTGCCGATGTCTTTCACGAATACCTGCAAAATACAGTAACTCACTCACTCCATAGAAGTTCTGCAGGTACAAAATTCATTTCCTTCGAGACTTAATAGCAAGCTCCCGATTTTTCTACTGTCAATATGACCTTAAAATCATTTTATCTTTGGTATGCTGAAGCTGGGCTAAATTAAATTAACTGCACGCTGACCTCAAAAGCATTGACTCCAGCTAAATCTTAATAATCATTTCTATCTTATTCGACCCGGAAAACCAAAATAAAAGGTCCCAAAACATTCAACAGCTGAAAGATCTTCTTTTAATTTTTTGAATCTGCTTGCATAGATATTCCACACACGAAAAAACAAATCGACCCAAAATTCATAAAAGTTCATTTCTAATTGAATTTTTTTAAAAAAATAAAATCTTGAAGTCGAAATCGTGAAACTAAGAGCAGGAAGAAGGTGAGGAAGTAGCTTGCCTGAGATTGACATGTTCATGTTTTGAGAAGAAGAGGTTCGTGCTCTTTTGCCAGACCCCATTACCATCAAGACATGCTCCAATCAAAATCGCGAGAAAAAAAAAACTAAAAAAAAAACTTCTCTCCTTCTTTTCCTTAATAGTAATTAAATAGATAAATAGTCCATCGCATTAATATAGGCGTTTCTCACAAAATTACAACAATTTTTTTTTTTTTGTTGCAGTTCTATACCGATAATAATAATAATAATAATTAGTTGGATTAATTGTAGATCTTAAAAAATATATAGAGAAAAGAAATACAGAGAAAGGAGTTTGCACTGCGTGAAGATCTCTTCTCCTAGTCAGTGGCAGTGCAGCATTTATAGCGCCTTCGCTCAACTTTTCTCTCAACGCCGTCGCAGCGCGACCATATTAGCTCTCTCTCTCAACTTTTGATGGACGATGAATTAAAAGGACGAATGAAATTTCTCCATGGTTGGTGGACTTATCGAGATTACTTTATTACCCCATATCTTTTTTTTATGGAAATAATAATTGAAAATTAAAAAAAAAAAAGCTTTTTTACAGTCGGAAAAGACATAAGTGAAAAGGAGAATATTTTAATTTAATAATTTTTTCTTTACTTGTATCTATTTATTTATATAAAATAAATATTATTAAATAACTAATAAGATATCACTTATCACAATTTAAATATATTAAGATTTCTTATAGTCTTTTTATATTCAAGATAAAGAATAAAGATTGAAATTATAAATCTTAAAATAGTGATTGCCTTTGAATGAAATGTCTCTTTTTTAAGTGTAATCCTTGGAAAAGAAGAACAGTTTTTGTAAGTTTTCTATCTTGGACGGGAGTGACTTTTATACAATTAAATTAAATTAATGAATTTGATTTTGATGCAAGAAACTTTAAAACAAGCAATAAAAGGGCAAGAAATTTGAGTAACTTTTGTGGATAAATAAGTTATTTTAATACACGGGAAAAAATATAATTGTGGTTCATTGGGTATCTTGATCGTAAAATTTAAAATATCTACCAATTAAATATTAGTTTTATAGAGAATAAAAAAAACACGTGAGTTTGTATATATGTTTGAAAAGTAAAGTCATGAATATTTAGATATAATCTTTTTTTTTTTGTATGTTCATTGGCACGAGAAAAAAAGATCTACAATGCAGGGATTTTATTTCATGTATCTGGTTCAAGTTTTATATTTTATAATATATATTTTCTAAAATAGTATCTTTTGAAGGACATATTTTTCTAAACAGGGATTGATATCTATTATTGTTCTTTTTAGCAGGGATGATTATTTTAGTTTGGTTTGATTTTTATCTTAAAAAAATTAATCAAAATAAAATTTTGAAAAACTTAAAAATTTAAATCAAGATCGGTTCAAACCAACTAGTTTCGATTCAGTCCGGTTTGATTTTTTAACATAAAAACTAGAAAAATTCATATTCAAACCGACTAGGTTTTTTTAACAATATTCTCTGTAGCTTTTCCTGCTTCCCTCTTGTTCTTCCCTTCAAACCCTGTAATTTCAAAAGCCCAGTTACTCAACAAACAAATCTCAAGTATATAACAATTGGAAGCAGATAAAATATAGCAATGGATCATTTCATCATTTTAAATCGATCTTCAATAACCACAAACTCGTCTCCACGCATTATAAAATAGCTATGAAAGAAACTAAACGACTAATATAAAAGTTAAACAAAAAACAAACTTTTAAAGTAAATAACCTCATATAAGCAACATAGCACGGTAACTTGTGATATATAACAATATAAAAGTTAAACAAAGAAAAAACTTTTAAAGTAAAGAACCTCATATAAACAACATAGCACGGTAACTTGTGATATATAAAGTTTTAATTTTTCTTCTCAGTCTTAGCAAGAATTACAGTAAGAGTTGCTTCAACTTAAAAAAAAAAAAACACACAAAACCTCAATGATAGAAAACAAACATTAAAACCTTGAAGATGAAGATTTGAAGCACACACCAAACCAGTCCTTGAGTTGTTAATTCTGAAGATGAAGATTGAAGTCTTATTAAAAATTTATTAGATGACTAAAAGTCTAAATTCGACCATAAAGTTTTGTAAAGCGATAAAACATTTATTTTTTATCATGTCGAGAGTGTAAAAGATTGAGATTTGATAGTTGTGGCCTGTGAAGGCTTTGGAGGGGGTGACAAGGGGTTGGATGCAGGGGAATGCTAGGGTTAAAAATTTAGAAAGGGTTTTTATAGTATTTATAAAAAAACAGAATTGGTTTGTTTTTTTTTTGTTTTAGGCATATCAAACTGAAACTAAACTGAATCGGTTAAATTTTTTACAAACCGAAACTAAACTGAATCGGTTAAATTTTTTAAAATTCCAATTGGTTTAATTGATTTTTTTCATGATTCGGTTTTTATGATTATTTTTTTCTGGTTTTTTTGGTTTAATCGATTTTTTGGTTTTTTTACCCACTCCTGCTTATTATTACATCATTAATCCAGTTGTTTTTATGTTTCAAAAAAGTTTTTGAAAAAATTTAAATTTTTTATTTTTTTCTAAAATTAATTTTTTTATATTTTTTAGATTATTTTGATATGCTAATATAAAAAATAATTTATAAAGAATTTAAAAATATTATCTCATATATATTTTAGTAAAACAATATTTTGAAAAGCAACGACAACAATATTCTCAAACATATTAGTAAGATACTAGTAATAATCTATGATTTTATACTCAAGAAATTTATTATCATTATTCATTGAATGATTTATTCACAATATACGCAACATCTATCAATTCAGTATTAAATTAAACTTGTAGAAAAAAAAATGCGACTTGTATGTTTGGAAAAGAAAGCCATGAACATTCAGGTATACTCTGTGTGCACTCTCTCTTTGAAGAGTATAAAGAAGATTTGTTTTAACATTAATTGCCATTAAGGTTTTAGTAGAATAGAAGAAATATATTCAATGAGGCTATTTTAGTCTACAGGATAAATAATGGAACGACAATAACACCGCCATAAAGTGAAAAGTCTCGTTAATTTTATCATGTTTGGTTTATGCCGTGAATCATGAGGAATCCAAGCAGAGTTTACTACTATACTCCTAAGACTTAAAAAGTCCACGAGTTCCAATTATTTTTCTGGCTTTATAGAAAAATTATAACCACCAATGATAAACCTATCATTAAATTACAATATATATATTATGATAATAACTTTTATAATACAATAAAGAAATTAAAATGCATGTTAGTTTCTCAAATAAGTTATAAGCCCGTGATAATTGTATTATTATTGGTAAAAATAATAGCATGTTGGTTCACTGAAAAAGAAGGGAGGGGGGGTAACTGGGTAAAAAACACTAACTTTTCCCGTCAATAAGAACGTTAGGTTGCCCTCATTTCAGAATAAAACAATATTCTCAAGGTCTGTTTGGAGAAGCGCAGTATATATCCTTTAAAATGTAAATTTTTAATTAAAAATTATTTTTTATATTTTCAGATTTTTTTATATGTTAATATTAAAGATAATTTTTAAAAAATAAAAAATATTTTTTAATAAATTTTTAAATAAAAAATACATTAAACCATAATTACAGTCAGAATCTCAAATATACCCTCAATATTTAAAGGGATATTAAGTGCAAATGTGGTTAAAAAATAATTTTTTATTTAAAATAATTTTTTTATATATTTTTGAATTATTTTAATGGATTAATATTAACAAATTATTTTAATATATTTTTAAAAAAATATTTTTAAAAATTACAGTCATCACATATCCTCCTGACAAAGGATTATTAAATTCTCTAGTATTGATTTTTACTAGCAATACAAACACAAATATCCTCGACATTCAAGTTGATCTGGTGAAAAGAGTCTGGGACTCTCCGTACCAGACACCCTTTTAATTCATACAGGCATCATTTGATGTTATGGTTGGAGTGCTATTTATAGTGATTTTTAGAACATTATTGTATGAAAATAATTAATGTTTTGTAATTTTTTAAATATTTTACATGAAAAAAAATAGTAAATTAATTTTTAATGATTTTAATTTTATTTTTCTTTATATCATATATAAAAAAATCAATTATACACGCACGACAACATAGCCAAATATATTTATGCCCTTTCTAGTTCACAGTGGTCCTTGCCATGTCCCAGGACGAAAAAAGAAAACGTCTGTGATAACTGTGGATTACATGTTTGGAAATATATAAATGATGGTTGTTTAAAATATTTTTTATTTAGGAATATATTAATTTTTTTTTTATTTTTTAAATTATTATTTATTTTAAATATCAAAACAATTTAAAATTATAAAAAATTGAAATAAAATTTTCAAAAAACATGAACACCGTGTTCCTAAACGCTAGTTGTGTAACTGCTCGAAGATAAAAGTCTCAAGTATGAACATGAGAATAACGGTGGGGACCGTTAACCATTACTCTTCTCTTGGTTGAAAGTTTCTGCATCCTATTGTTCCCGAGCTCGGAGGCTACGCTGTTAATGCTCACCTGGGCCAGTCTAATCAACGAGACATTGACTGGCTTGCGTAATCCTTCCGGTAACGAAAAGCATTGAATTCGAAGTCTCAGTACAATAATATAGAATTGACGTGTTCTTATTGTTTAATTGGCATGCCTCTGTCTAGTCCCATTCATTATTACTTGAATATTAAAACGCGTGAGATTTTTAATATATATTATTCACTGTATAAATGTTTATTTTTTTAGTCTGGAATTCAGACTTTATTTTAATTAATTTTAATTTTTTATAAAATTGTTGGATTGAAAAGAGAAGAATAAAAATGAAAAATATGACAAATAAAGCTAACATATTATAAATTTTGAAAACATTTATCATGATTCTTTAACTTAAACAATCACATTAATTATGTAATTGAAATTCCTTGAAATTATTCAGATTTTATTTTGATATATAAATTTATTTTTTTTTTTTTTTTAATGATTGTTTGAGAGAAGAGAGGGGGAGGGGCATCCAATTCTAGTAGTAGTAATGATTGTTTGAGAGAAGGAAGGGGGAGGGGCATCCAATTCTAGTAGTAGACTGATAAATTTATTATTTGCACCCATTTAAATCATTAAAATAAGAGTTTTTATATTAAATTACTTTATTTAATGTAGGAGTTCATGTTAAGTGTTCTTGTGTCTTAAAAATTCATGAAAAAAATAAACATGAGCTCCAATTAATTTTTGATTTTAAGTTGAGTTTGGTTTTTTAAGATTATTAATGGATTTTTCATGATTTATAGGATGTTTTATAGGTGGTTTTAGTCAAAAACATATTACAAAATAAATTTTAATTTCACGATGCATGACCTTTATGATTAAAACTCTTAATACGTATGCCCCCATAGATTTATAAAATTATTAGTTTGTGAAATTAATTAAAATAC